CGAGGCTGCAGTGAGCATGATTGCAGCACTACACTCCAGCCTGGACAACAGAGAGAAACCTTATCTTTGAAAATAAATAAAATGTTTAAAACATTTTTAAAGAAGAAAAGGAAAGATGTTTACACGGTAAGAGCTGTTTCTATCCATTCATCCAGGCCTTGGGCAACGAAAGGAGGGGGCGGGTTTCCACATTTCCTGGCTCTTGATTTCTCTCCAGAAACACCCAGCCCCACCCCAGCCTTGCTAGATTCTCTGTTTAGTTTCTACTCTGGGGCAAAAGACAGAAAAACAATAGCAACACTTAGGTCGCCTGTGATTACCTTTGCCTTCTGAGGACCTCAGAGTACCTATCACATCCCTGGGAAATGCTTCAGAATTCTCTCAGGATGGGAATTTAAAAATGCCTGTGTGAGAAAGAGAAGCCCAGATTTGGAGAGGGATAGATTCATCTCCAGGCCGGGCACTATCACTCAGTGGCCAGTGGCAACTGCTTAGAGCCTCAGTTTTCTCCGATAAAATGGAGGCATAATTCTGACCGTCCTCTCACCCTCCACGAGGGTCTCTCGAGATCATGGAGGCTAAAGCACTCTGTAAAATGCGAACGCACAACCTATGCAATTGTGCTGGAATCGGGGTGCTGAGTTAGGGTTCCACTTGTAAGCTCCAGTTAGAAATCTTTTGGGGACAAGGAATTTTCCTACCAGGTCCAGCAGCAGGGCTGTTCATACAAAGAGCACGTGCTCAGGACTCAGAGGTTCTGTTCTCAGGGCAGGAGCTCACAGTGCAGAGAGGAGTTGTGTCATCATTCAGACACTTTGAGAGCACAAAAATGCCCCCCCTGCAGATGACACTGAAGCCAGAACCATTCACACTTTCCCTCTATACCACAAGGAAAAGAACTCCATAAACAAAGTTGAAGGACAAGTTGTCAGATCAGGAGAAAATACTTGCATCACAGGTATGTAATAGACAAAAAAACAAGTATGCAGAGTATATAAAGAACAAAAATAACCCATTATTTTAAATGAGCAATATGAACAGGTAATTTTTAGAAGAAGAAATAGAAGTAGTTGATAAATATATGCAATGAGAAATGTGTAAATTAAAATTTCAGGCCAGGAGCAGTGGCTCACACCTGTAATCCTAGCTCTCTGGGAGGCAGAGGCGGGAGGATTGCTCGAGGTCAGGAGTTCGAAACCAGCCTGAGCAAGAGCAAGACCCCGTCTCTACTATACATAGAAAGAAATTAATTGGCCAACTAATATATATAGAAAAAATAGCCGGGCATGGTGGTGCATGCCTGTAGTCCCAGCTACTCAGGAGGCTGAGGCAGCAGTATTGCTTGAGCCCAGGAGTTTGAGGTTGCTGTGAGCTAGGCTGATGCCATGGCACTCACTCTAGCCTAGGCAATAAAGCAAGACTCTGTCTCAAAAAAAAAAATTTTTTTTTCAGAAAACTTTGTGATGCCATTAGTATTTATATCCCATCACATTGGCAAAAAGAAAAAAGAATTTGAGTTTGATACTATTGAGTGCTGGAGATTTAGGGAATCTATATTTTCACATAGTGCCATTTGAAATGCAAATTGATGTAATTTTGATTTAATTAAAGCTGAGGACAAAACATGATCAACACAAAGTCCTACATTCTGAACACAGCTGCTGGCTTCAGCACTTAGCGAGAGAGCGAATTTCCATCCTTATCACCCACCTTGATAGAACAGAAAACGGTGGCGGTTCCCATCCTGCTCCCACAGGGGGCGCCCTGTGCCTCAAAGCAAGTGACGTTGTTTGCTTCAAAAGACCCCTTGTGGAGACTGGAGGTAGCTGCAGGAATGGGAAGGCCCAGATGAAGGCTGATGAAACTTTCTTAGGAGAACCTGAAGCATGTCCCCAGGGGTTTGGAGATCAGTGCCCGCTTCCAACCTGGAGGATTCTTCTGGAGGAGGGACAGGGATGGCCAGAAGCAGCCCTAGATGGCCAGACAAGGAGAGAGATGAAAGCACATCCTTTGGGCCAGGATAGAATATATGAGGCTCCCTAGGCTAAATGAATGCCCACAAAAGGAGCAGGCTCAAGGTGTTGTGATGGCCCCTGCCCGAAACAGCTGCCTGCCTTGGCAAAGGGACCAGGAAGTCAGAGGCTGCAGGAAATGCAACTTCCGGGGGAGTAGCAGGCAGGGCACGGGGCTGAGGACTTGTCAAAGAGGTTGGCCATAGAGCATCCACCTACATCATCTCTGAAGATCCCAACGCCACCTCCCATAAGAGCACAAGACAGGGGTCCCAGATCCTAGCCACACCAATCATGTGTTGCTCTGCCCCTTTTCCTCTGACTACCCTTGGCCTTGAAGGAGCCAGCAGAGAGCAATGGGTAGGGTTCTGGGGAAGGGGGTGGATCACAAAAAAGAGCGAAAGGCAAGATCCCCATTCCTTCTGTACATCAGGTCACTTTAAATTGGGTGTGATGTGAAATTTTGAATTATGCTGGACTTTTTTCATACCTGAAAACGAGATTGTCTTTATAGCTGAAAATGACCTAAAAGCTATGCAATCCTCCAGAACATGGCTGAAATCAGTGATAAAAGAAGGAGTTTCCTTTGGTAACTCTTCATGTCCAACCACTCTAAAGAACTGGTATCACTATTAAAATTTTAAAGGTGCAAACCCTAGGACACAGAAATTCCACCACTCAGTACCCCCCCACAGAGAAATCCTTGCACATGTACACACACAGGTATGTACAAGGATATTCGTTGCAGCAGTGTTTGCAATCATAAAAATTAGAAACAACTGGTCTCAGCGGCGTGTGCCTGTAGTCCCAGCTACTCGGGAGGCTGAGGCAGGAGGATCACTTGAGTCCAGGAATTCTGGGCTGTAGTGCGCTATGCCAATCGGGTGTCTGCACTAAGTTTGGCATCAATATGGTGACCTCCCAGGAATGGGGGACCACCAGGTTGCCTGAGGAATGGTGAACCGGCCCAGGTTGGAAAAATTGGAAACAAATGCCAATTAATTGGGAAATTATTAAATAAGCAATGACATATCCATGCAGTGAAGTACTACACAGCCGTTAAAAAGGAAAAGACACACTCTATGTGGTAACAGATCTCTTGACTACATGGCTGAGTGAAGAAAGCACGTTGCAGAATATGTAAAATAACATACTCACGTAGAGTATGACATCATTTATGCAAGAAAAAAATACAATATTATATATTTTCTGTGGGACATATATATAAATATATACGGAAAGTCCTGGAAAACTATTCACTAAACTGACAACCAGGATTACTTTTGATGAGGAAGGAAGAGAAATAATCATTATTGGGGGGTATGGTCAAAGAGAACTTTCCCCTTATCTGTTATAAGGTGTAAGATATTGTTAAGTGCAGACACACCTCGTTTTATTGCACTTTGCTTTATTGCACTTCACAGATGTTGCATTTCTACAAACTGAAGGTTTGCTGCAACCCTAAGTTGAACAAGTCTATTGGCACCATTTTTCCAACAGCATGTGTCTCTGTGTCACAGTTTGGAAATTCTCACAATATTTCACACTTTTTGATTATTATTATTATATATGTCATGTAACCTGTGATCGATGATCTTTGATGTTACTAGTGTAATTGTTTTGGGAGGCCACAAACCATGCCCACATAAGATGGTGAACTTAATTGATAAATGTTGTGTGTGATCTGACTGCTCCACTGACCAACTGTTCCCCCAAGTCCCTCCTCCTCGAGCTTCATATTCCCTGAGACACGACAATATTGAAATTAGGCCAATTACTAACCCTACAATGGCCTCTAAGTGTTCAAGTGAAAGGAAGAGTCACATGTCTCTCACTTTAAATCAAAAGCCAAGAAATGATTAAACTTAGTGAGAAAGGCATATTGAAAGCCAAGATAAGGCCGGGCGTGGTGGCTCACACCTGTAATCCTAGCACTCTGGGAGGCCGGGGTGGGCGGATTGCTCGAGGTCAGGAGTTCAAAACCAGCCTGAGCAACAGCGAGACCCCGTCTCTACTATAAATAGAAAGAAATTAATTGGACAAGTATTATATATAGAAAAAACAAGCTGGGCATGGTGGCGCATGCCTGTAGTCCCAGCTACTCGGGAGGCTGAGGCAGTAGGATTGCTTGAGCCCAGGAGTTTGAGGTTACTATGAGCTAGGCTGACGCCACAGCACTCAATCTAGCCTGGGCAACAAAGCGAGACTCTGTCTCAAAAAAAAAAAAAAAAAGAAAGCCAAGATAAGTTGAAAGTTAGCCAAATTATAAATGCAAAGAAAAAGTTCTTCAAGGAAATTAAAAGTGCTGCTACTCTAGTGAACACATGACTGACAAGAAAGCAAAACAGCCTTATTGCTGATATGGTGAAAGTGTGAATGATTTGGATAGATCAAAGAGCTACCACATTCCCTTAAGCCAAAGCCTAATCCAGACCAGGCTCTAACTCCCTTCAATTCCATGAAGGTTGAGGGAGGTGAGGAAGCTCCAGAAGCAAAGTTTGAAGCTAGCAGAGGCTGGTTCCTGAGGTTTAAGGAAAGAAGAGGTCTCTGTAACCTAGAAGTGTAAGGCGAGGCCAGGCAAGGTGGCTCACACCTATAATCCTAGCACTGTCAGAGGCCAAGGCAGGAGGATTGCTTGAGGCCAGGAGTTCCAGACCAGGCTGAGCAAGAGTGAGACCCCATCTCTACAAAAAATAGAAAAATTAGCCAGGTATGGTGGCTCGTGCCTACAGTCCCAGTTACTAGGGAGGCTGAGGCAGGAGGATTGCCTGAGCCCAGGAGTTTGAGGTTTCAGTGAGCTATGATTAAGCCACTGCACTCCAGCCTGAGTAACAAAGCGAGACCTTGACTCTAAAAAAAAAATAAAATAAAGTAAAATTTAAAAAGAAAGATTACATGGGCCAAGACTGAAAGCTAAGAGGGCAATTAGGAGGCTACTGCCCAGCAATACGGCATTTGTCTCTTCATGCCGATTTAATGAGGAAGGAGTCAGAATATAATAGTTTTTATTAATGGGATTGGATTTAACAACCAAACAATCCTTTTATTTTATAGTTTTATTTCCTAGCATGAAAGAGCTTCCAAAATGAATCCTCTCTTCTATCTCCCAAAGCCAGGGCCCAACAGACACTTCCCTGGGGGACACACTCAGGGGTCCCCTCCTGGGCCAGATCTTTAGGCCTCTCTTACCCCACCTACAACCTTCCTTTCACTGTTTTAGTCCCAAACCCACCGTCCCCCAAGGAAACCCCACACTGGTAGCAGCTGCCAGGGGCCGCCTGCCTGAAGGTTTGCCCTCCAGGGAAGAGGGACTCTCACTCTGGGCCTCAGTGGTTACTCCAGCGCCCAAGAAATGGGCCTTTGAGCTAAAACCAAAGAAGGGATGAACCAGCGAATGATCAGGGAGGTCCCAGCTGGGAGATCTAGTGGAGCCTTCTGCTCCCCACAAGCAGCAGGGCCCAGAGTGGGGTTCGCATCAGGCTCTTTCTCTTGGTTGGCAACTTGGGGGATTTCCTCAGTGTTCAAGACACTCAGTAAACATGTTCCAGAAGCAAAAGGAAATAAGTTGAGAGTTGGTTTATTCACCCAGCACAGGCTTTGGCAGTTTTTAAATGTCTGTTGAGAGGAAGAGCATATTGGATCTATGTATGCTGCGACTACCCTGAAAGCTGAGTAAAGCAATGGGGAGCTCTAGGTCGCCAGTCCTCCCTCGTGATACCCCTGTGACCAGCAGCATCCGCATCACTGGGAGCGTGTTAGAAATGCACGCTTTTTACCTGGCCCAGACCTACTGAATGAGAAACTCAGCCATCTATGATTTTAAAAGGTGATTTTGATGCAAGCTCAAGTCAGAGAACCATGAAGAGGAAGGCCCCTGCCCCAAGGCCTCCAGGAGAGCGGCTGCAGGGCCCTCACGCTACAAACTCCTCCCCCATCCTCCCTGAACCTGGCCCTGGCCCTCCCCCCTCAACCTCAGTTTCTCCCTGGAACCCTCCAGCCTCCTGGTTCGCAGACTCACATTTCCTCACTGACCTGTCTTCAGATCCCCCTTCCCCATCAGATCCTGTTCCCCACGTCACCCCAGCCCCTCCCCAAAGGGTTGTCCTTGCCAAGCCCCCCACATCTCAGAACTCTGGGGGACCCCCGTCCCCAGCCCTCTAGGCCCTGTCTTCAGCCCTGGCAACCTCCCCCCACCCGGCTCCCTCCTGGCCTGACGCAGCCCCTGCCCCGCACGGCTCAGGCCTCCTCGCCGTCGGGCCCCACGAGCACCAGCGGCTGAGCGTTCTTGCCCTTATCGTGCCAGCACACGTCGAAGAAGGGGTACACCGGCCCGGGCAGTCGCTCGTGGAAGGCAAAGAGCAACACCAGCGCGTCGGCGTCGCTGGCGTCGTAGAAAGAGAACACGCCGTCGCGGAAGCTCAGGTAGAGGCCGATGCGGGACGGCCGCTTGTCGGGGGCGCGCAGCGCGCGCGGCTCCTTGGCCTCGACGTGCGCCTCCAGGGTCTTGCCGTCGCGCAGCCCGAGCAGCCAGAGCCCCTGCGAGGGCACCGCGTGCAGCCGGCCGCGGCGGGGCGCCTCCGCCGTGATCACGCCGAGCGCCCAGCGTGGCTTGTCGCCCACCTCCACCTCCCAGTAGTGCTCGCCCTCGGAGAGCAGCTGATGCGCCACCACCGCCACCGCCTTGTCGAACTGGCGCGGGTCCTCTCCGGCCGGCGGCGCCTTCTGCTCCGAGCACTCCGCGCGGCGGCCCGAGGGAGACAGGACCAGGCTTGGATGCGCCGAGCTCGGGTCAAAGGTCAGCTCCTCCAGCGCTGCCAGAGAGACAGGGGTGAGGCCCCTGCGTCTCTGCCTCCCTCGAGCCTTTCCCCAACCAACTTGAGGGCCATCTTGGCCTCCTCTATTCCTCCCAGCACCTCTGTGAGGTGAACCCCCCTCCCAGTTTCCGTTTGCTCAGCCGTAGCACGAGGCCATGACCGCCTGCCTCCAGGGCTGCCGGCAGGACTACATTGATACGAAGCCCGTGACTCACCATCTGAGGCCCAGAAAAGGCCCAAGGCCCAATGTCAGAAAGCCTGGCCCTCAAGCAGTCTTGACTCAGTCTCTGGGCCTCAGTTTCCGCTTGAATAAAATGGGGGTCTCTCCATCCCCACCTCCCCAGGCGATAAGGGCCACACCAGCCGTGTGTAAGTCCCGGAGCTCTGTAACTATAGCAGCTCAATGCGCTCCAGCTCTTGGGAGAGGAGGCTGAGCCCTTGGGCCTCCCCAGCCACAGGGCACCAGCGTCAGTGTCTGCCCCAGGCCAGTCCCCAGGGTTTGAAGAGCTCTGCAGATCCTCAGGCCCCAAAGAGCAAGACTTATCATCTCCACTGTCTAGAGAGGGGCAGGGCGAGGCCCAGGATCACACGGGGAGGCAGTGGCTCAAACCCAGACCCCAGCCTCCCATGCTGCCAGCAGCAGCAGCAGCAGCAGCACCCTCCGAGTCGGTCACCCACTGTTAATCCTGTGCCCTCGAAGGTTTTCCTCCCAACACAGGTTAGCGAGCTGCAGGGCGAGGGTTGGAACCCCAGAGGTGAAGGGGCAATGGGATGACTTTCCCAGTTGGGATTGGGAGGCCTCCCTACGTGTGGCTGGGGCCTGCCATCAACCCCACAGTTACACACACAAGCCCAGAGTCAGCCCTCCTAGTACCTGGCATCAGAGCCCGGAACATCTTCCTCCACACCTGGAATTTGAAGTCATCTGAGATGATGGGCAGCTGGATGTCCAGACGGGCGGGCGGTGGTGACTCTGCCAGGATCTTCTGCAGCCTGGGGGTGGGAGGGGGGCTCTGTGAGGAGAGAGGGCAAGAGGAAGTACCCCAAGGACAGGAGAACAGGGGCTAGGGGGGAGGATGCCAGGATCTCCCCACATCACACCCCTACTTAAAACTTCCTCTGGAGTTTCAGTTTGGGAAGATGAAAAGTTCTGGAGATGGACAGTGGTGGTGGTCACACGTGAATGTACTTAATGCCATTGAACTTAAAATGTACAACTAAAAATGCTTAAAATGGTTAACTTTGTGTTCTCTGTGTTTTACCACAGGGTTTTTAAAAAATCCCTCTGGGCCCGGTGTGGTGGCTCACACCTGTAATCCTAGCACTCTGGGAGGCCGAGGCGGGCGGATTGCTCAAGGTCAGTAGTTCAAAACGAGCCTGAGCAAGAGCGAGACCCCCGTCTCTACTATAAATAGAAATAAATTAATTGGACAACTAATATATATAGAAAAAATTAGCTGGGCATGATGGCGCATGCCTGTAGTCCCAGCTACTCAGGAGGCTGAGGCAGCAGGATTGCTTGAGCCCAGGAGTTTGAGGTTGCTATGACCTAGGCTGACGCCATGGCACTCACTCTAGCCTGGGCAACAAAGCAAGACTCTGTCTCAAAAAAAAAATCCCTCTGTTGGGATAAGGTCCAAGCTCCTCGGCCCTCCCAGCCTGCCCCACCTCCCATACCAGCCTCACCTTCTCTTCTCCTGCAGCCTCGGCCCTTCTTCCTGCCCACAGTGCTCTTCTCTCAACTCTACCTAGCCAGCTCCTCGTCATTCCTCCAGGGCTCAGCTCAAATGCCCATTCCCCTGGGGACCCTTCCCTGGCCAGCCCTTTCCCTCCACAGCCGCACCGAGCACACAATGATGCCTGCGTCCCTGCCCACGTCTGTCTCACAGCGCCAGTCTAGGAGGTCCCAGGGGGGCAAGGACCAGTGTACAACACTGTGCCCAAGCAGGGAGATGGCAGTGGACAGAGCTGGGGGTGTGCAGGCACATTGTGAGTAGGGGAGAGCCAGCTGGTGTCGCTAGAAGACCAGGGCACATTGGGCAAAGGGGCAGGGCCAGGTTTATCTCACCTGCTGGTCACCAGGCAGTATTTCTAGAGAAAGAAAAAGAGAAAATGGAGGTGAGGCAGGGAAAGGGACACGGGGGATTACTGAGGGTGGAGCAGACAACCAGAAATGCTGAGTGTGGGCTCAGGAAGAATCAGAAAAGCCAAAAACCCGGAATTTGAGCCCTCCCCTAGCCCTTTACCTATATATGGATTAGAAAAATGTACTCTCTCCCCAAGAAACTCCAACTCCACCTGCTCAAAGATTGTCCTAATAAATATGCATACCTACAATGTCTGTGATATGAATGGTGCCCACCTAATACAGTGTCCTTGTGCAGTGCCCAACCTAAACAACTATACGGCAGTCCTGAGGCCCACCTCTCCTGGATGTGTGACCCCAGCTGCTCTCGGCCTTCTCTTGGCCACAGACTCCTGTCTGACAATGGGATGAGGTCTCTGGGCTTGAGCTATGGCCGAAGGGTGGAGGATAGGTCATTCGGTGCTCACCATGAGGAACTCAGTCTGTGGCTTGTCGGCCACCTCCTCCAGCACCTTTTCCATCTGCCGCAGCTGCTCCAGGTAAGAATTCAGGCCCCCCAGTTCCCGCTTCAAGGCAACCCCTGCCTCATTCCGCACGCGTTCTGCCTCGCGGTCCAAAGAGCCCTCCAGCGCGGCCAGGAACACCCGCATCTTGCCCAGCTGCTCCCCCACGGCTCCCCGGAACTGGCGTACTGTCTCCTGCAGGGAGCAGGGGGAAGGGGACAAACAGACAAAAGTACTTTACGCATGTTCCTAAACTTAAAAAAATAAAATAAAATAAAAAAATAAAAAATAAAAAAAAAAAACAAAAGTACTTGGCTGGGGACCCCCTACCTGCCCACCCGCCCCAGACCCCAGGCTCCAGCATGCTGAGCTCCTCACCTCCACCTCCACAAGCTGATGCTCCAGCACGGCCACGCTCTTCTCCTTGCGCATGCACGCCTCCTGCAGCTGCAGCTTCTGCTGGGGCAGCTGCGTCTGGGGGGCAGAGCACGGAGAAGTCATGGGGATGCCGCCCCCCTGCCAGACCCACACCTCCCACGCTAAACCTGCACTCTGCAGCTCAGCCTCAGTGTCAGGCCCTCCTGCAGCCATCTTCCCATCCCCAAACCCAGTGCGTGCCTCTAGGCCCTGGCCAGTACTGCTCCTGAGCCTGGTGCCTTCCCCTACCGTTGTCCACTCAGTTAACCCCTCCTGGCCTGGCCTTCCCTGAACCCATCCCCTCAGCAGTCAGGCCCCCAGCACAGGTCTTTTTGTGGAGGACAAGCACAAATATGGTTTGGTCTCCCCTACCAGACAGGCAGGTAGATAGCTTGGTACACAGCGGTTTTCAGGGGATGAGCGGGGGACGTGTGAGAGTAGAAATGCAGCCTCCTCCTACTCCTGGGCTTCACCCCTTACTTAAAAGCAGAACACCAGCCTCAGTCATTCTGTCCCCCAGTCAGCCTCCCCACCCACCCATGGCCTCTGGGGGCAGGCGATATAATAAAAGTGCATTGCATCCAACGACCAAACACATCTGTGGCTGGATCCCACCCAAGGCCTGTCAGTTTGTGATTCCTGAAATGCAAGTACAGGGGAGTTCCTAATAGCTCCTGCCAAAGCCACTTCTTTGCCGGGAAATGCATGGCCCTAGAATCAGACAGCTCCATTCCTGTCGCCATGGGTTCCAACCTCAGTTTCCTCCTCTACAGAAGGGGAACAGCAATCTCAGCCTCAACAAATTGGCACGTCCCCCCACACACACACACTCCTGCAGGGGAAACGAGGGGACGCCCTGGTGGTGTTTGCAGAGGACTCCCAGCCTAGCAGGAGCCTCAGAGTTGGACCTTGGGCTCGCCTGGCGGGCTGCCAGATCAGTCTCCTCCGCGGGTCGCCCTCCGGAGCCCCTGGGGCCGCCGGACCGGTGGCTCACAGCAGCGGAGCCCTCGGAGGTTCAGAGGTGGCGGGGCGAGCTATGGGAGGGAAGAAGCGCGACGCCGTCCTGGGGGCGCTGGAGAACCTGACAGCGGATGAGCTCGAGAAGCTCAAGGCGAAGCTGGGGCGGTGCAGCTGCGCCAGGGCTTTCAGAACATCCGGCGGGGGCGCTCGGGCCGCGTGAGTCCACAGCGCCCGCGGGTCCCATTCGACCACTCTGAGTCCGGTACTTGGGCGCCGGACCCACCCAGTCTTCCTCGCCAAGGACTCAGGTCCCTCCCAGAGCCTTCCTGTCCCCTTGTCCTTCAGGCTCCTTCCTGGGGTCTCCCCTTCAGACCTCTGGCCAGTGCTTGCCTGTGATTTAGGGCTGGGCTGACGCGGCCCCTGGCGGGCTGTATCTCGCCCCCCCTTCAAGGCTCCTGGGACGCCTGCCGCCCTGTTCCATTGCACGGGTTCTGTTCTCCGCAGGTAAGACGGGCGAGGTTGGGAGTTCTAACGCCATCAGCGGAGGTGAGCCTGGGCAGGGAGGGCTCCCTGGAGGAGGCGGTTCCTGCCCTGGGTGAGGAGACTACCAGCCAGGAGTGGGCCAGACAGAGCACGGCAGGAGAGGTAGGGACTGTGAGGCTGGGTCCCTGGGGAAGTCTGAGAGCCTCCAATACCTCCCCCTCTGGGAGACTGGGGGCCAAGGAGAGAAGCGGCGCAACGCTAATGAAGCCCGCGCTGCACGCACCTGTCTCAGAGGACAACAGCTGCGGCCCCACCGCGGGAACCGAGGACCCTCCACGCCGCCAGACCCCGCCTCCTCCCTCCCCTACTCCTGTCGTTATATTGTTCCACAGCCCAATAAATACTTCATGGCAGACCTTCCTGGGGCTGTGTGGACACATATCCGCCTGTAGCCACATGCGTGTGATTTGCCACACGCATGACATGTGCTAGCTAGCCAGTGTGTGCCAGCGTCTCCATTCGCCTATGTCTGAGTGTGAGTGTCTTTGCTGGGCGCCCATGGCCATCGCAAACCTCGGGGCGCGCACAACTGTGTGTGGGCTCCCCAGGCCTTCAGGACCTCCAGTTCTAACCAGAAAAACAGCCTGGACTGGGGTCTCGGTGCCACCCTGGGCCTGAACGCAGCAGAGGAGCTGGCCCCCGCGTGCCTAGCCCTTCCCGCCTCCGGTTCCATCAAGCCCGCGCCAGGTCGGCAGCTTGGGCGGCGCGCGGGCCTCAGCTGAGCAGCTGTGCACAACCCGACAGCTCCGCCACGCCCGGTGGCCACGCTGGGCGCGACGCCCCTAGTCTTACATGGGCCTGTGCCGCGCAGACGAGCCCGCTCGACCCGCCCGCCCAGTCCCGGTGGGCCGCGGGCGCTGAGTCAGTTCTGTTCCCGCCAGGCTCCGCCCCCTGACCGTCAGACTCCGCCCCGTGGCTCCGCCCCCCACATCTCTGCGCCGCAGGGGCTGAGCACCCGAAGTCTAGGTTTGCGTGACGCCGCCCCCTCCAGGACCCGAGCACGCGTGGCTCTTCCGGGCTTCCCTCTAGGCCAGGCTCCGCCTTCAGCTCCTCAGAACCCCGCTCCCTGGCTGCCTCGTCCCGCACCCTTTCCCGCAACTCCAAGTGCCGTGGGGCTCTAGAGCTCAGAATCCAAGTTAGTGCAGCGACCTCACGATTGGCCGGGCCCCGCCCCGCCCCGCCCAACAATCCCTCCGGACCCCGACCCTCGCCGGGTCCCCCACCTTGAGGCGCGCGTGGGCCTCGGCGGCGGGCAGCAGGCGGTGGCCACGGTGCGAACCGAGCGAGGCGCACACGCCGCACACGAGCGCGCGGTCCTGCTCGCAGTAGATGCTCAGCGGGTCTAGGTGCTCCTCGCAGTGGCCCTGTGGCACCTGAGCCAGCCCCTCCACCAGGCGCGACAGCTGCAGGTTGGTGCTGAGTGCCTGAGGCCGCGTGGGTGCCTGGCAGCTGGGGCAGGGGACAGTGCCGTCCGCTGCTGGCTCCCCTGCCACGCGACCAAGGCAGGCACGGCAGAAACTGTGGCCACACTCAGCCGTCACAGGCGCGTCGAACAGCTGCAGGCACAGCGGGCAGGACAGCTCCTGGTGCAGGAGGCCGGGCGTAGCCGACATAGCGGGCCTGGGTGGAGGAGGAATTGGTCAGGGAAGCCGAGCGGTGCCGCCCCAACCCCAGCCTATAAAGACCTCACATCCCATAGTGGAAGGGACTCTGGCTCTGGCCAAGCAGAAGGGAAACTCAGTCTCAGGCCCAAGGGCAGCCTCAACTACAGTTCTTAGCCCCAGCCCCCAAAATATGCCCTATCAGGGCCCTTGTCAATTCCAGTCTAAACACAAGCCCAGGTTCCAAACAGTCTTACTCGCAGTCTTTGCCCCTGTGTTAGCCCCAGGCCTCAGCCTCTGACCCAGGCCTTGGCCTCAGCTCCAGCCCCAAATTCTCCAGAGCCCCCACCCCCAGCCCTCCTCCCACCCACCTCTCCAGGCTCCCCAGCCCACCCTCCGCCATATCTCCAGCCCATAGGACTCACAAGTCTGTTGGAGATCTGAGGCCAAAAGAGAGTCCCAGGAGGACCAGTTGGGTCAGGCCTACCGTGGAGCAGTCAGAGCGATGTACAAAGACAAGGCCTAACCGTGGAGCGGTCAGAGCCGTGTACAAAGACAAGCAACAAGCTCAGAGGAATGACAGGAGACTCAGGAGCAGCTGGCAGCGGACACCATGCATGATGGGCACACAGCAAGTGGACAGACCTCCCAGGATGAGCCATGGCCCCAGGACTATATTTAGCTGCCCTCCCCCTCCCCTCCCATCACTTCTGGAAACTGTTCTAAAAGTGAGGACTGAGTAGTCAACGGGCAGGCATCACATGTCAGGTCCACCTGTCCTGGCCCATCCACTGTCCTCTCCCCTGCTCAGCCAGGAGCAAGAGCTGAGAACCAGCAGGGAGACAGGGCCTCTCACAGCGCAGAAAAGACAGAAAATTGGGGAGGAGAGTGGTCTCCCATTTCTCCCCATGCCAGCCTCCACACTCTCAGGCTTCCTCCCTCCTTGCCTGTGGCCCCTCCCCAGCTTGTCACCCACTCAATCCCCAAGCTTATGGCTCAAGGTCACTGACAGTAGTATCCCAACCTACAGGACGGCAGGATCTCACCCCACCCTAAAAGGTTTTCTTCTTGCAGATCTGAGAGGAGGGTCTTTCCCATTCGGTCTCTTCAGTGCCCAGCACAAGCCCTGGTAAAGTAGGCCTCCCTAAATGCTTGGAGAATGAGTGATAGAGACACAGTTGAATGAATGAATGAATGAACTGAATCCAGAGCCTGCAGCTCAGGACTCAATTCTGCTCTGGGAGCCTCAGGCCTTCCTGTATGCTTATCTTTCATATCTCAGTTGAAATTTTATCTAGAACAAAAGCCAAAGTCCTCACTGTGGCCCACAAGCCACTACCCAATTTGAGCTCATTCATCACACTGACTTGCTTCTCACCCCGTCCCCTTGCTCCCTGCAGCTTCAGGGACTTTGTACTTGCCATCCCCTCTGCCTGGAACACTCTTTCAAACCCTGCTATTGCCTGGCTCTCCTCCTCCCCTTCCTCAGATCCTTACTCAATATCACCTTCTCACTGAGGTCTCTCCTAACTCTCTGGTTTTTAAGCCTCCTATCTCCCCAATATTTCCCCTCCTGGCTTTATTTTTCTCTATAACATTTATCACCATCTGACATGCAATACATTTTACTTGCTTGTTCGATTTGGGTTTTTGTTTATTTGTTGTTGTTGTTGTTGTTTTGTTTTTTTGGGGTTTTTTTTGAGACAGAGTCTCACTCTGTTGCCCCGGCTAGACTGCTGTGGCGTCGGCCTAGCTCACAGCAACCTCAAACTCCTGGGCTCAAGCGATCCTTCTGCCTCAGCCTCTCGAGTAGATGGGACTACAGGCATGCGCCACCATGCCCGGCTAATTTTTTTCTATTTTTTGTAGAGATGAGGTGTCACTCTTTCTCAGGCTGGTCTCAAACTCCTGAGCTCAAATGATCCACCCACCTTGGCCTCCTGTAGTGCTATGATCACAGGCGTGCTGCTTATTGGTTTATTGTCTGTCTCCTCCTATCAGAATATAAATTTTGCTCACTGTTTGTCTCCAGCTTTGAATAAAGTGCATGACACACAATAGGTGCTCAGTAAATACTCAATGAATGAATAAACACGCAGACTCAGTGCCTTTCATCTGGCCTCTCCGGCTTTCTCTTCCCTCAGCCCTTACCTGTTTTGTTTTGTTCATTCCCCTCTCAGCCATTCTCTCCTCTGAGTTCCTGTTCCTCGCCTTGCTCCAACACTTTGGTAAGCAAACAAAATCTCTCCAGGAGCCAGACAGCCCCTTGCATGTCTCAGCTTTTATGGTAAGTCCTAGGAATTGTCTCCAAGTTCTGGGGTTTATTCCTTCTTGCATGTTGCATGCTGATGGCACAAGCTTACCTGGCCTGCTTAGGAAGATGGCTACTCCAGGCTCCTTGGCACCCTGAGGGCTTAACCTGGGGCCCTTGTTTAGGCTGTAATCATTTTTCATCCTCTCACAAGGAGAAATATCTTATTATTCTTTTGGATCAGAACAATTACCTACATAAATGACTACAGATTTAATTCTTGTGGTACATGAAAAGGGTCAGGAAGCTAGCTACTGGGACACAAAAATCCAGGTAAGTTTTATTTCCCTGCTCTCTTTACCCTCAAGTCTCTGATTTCTTCTCTTCCATTTTTGATGGCTCAGACTCAGCCTTGGGTAATCATTAGGAAAGGGTGGGGATGGGGTATATCTGGAGCTAGTCTCTGAAACCACAAGCCACTCAGGCTCAACAACTCAATATCCAGAATTTAGATCTCATCTGTAGTTTCCATCACTGCCAAGTGGGGCTGAAGATTCTGGTCACTTGCCTCTCTCATCCATAGAAGTGGGTGTCCAGGACAGAAAGGTGATAGACAACACAATCCTCGGCCGGCGCGGTGGCTCACGCCTGTAATCCTAGCTCTCTGGGAGGCCGAGGCAGGCAGATTGCTCGGGGTCAGGAGTTTGAAACCAGCCTGAGCAAGAGCAAGACCCCGTCTCTACTATAAATAGAAGGAAATTAATTGGCCAACTAATTATATAGAAAAAAAAATTAGCTGGGCATGGTGGCACATGCCTGTAGTCCCAGCTACTCGGGAGGCTGAGGCAGGAGGATTGCTTGAGCCCAGGAGTTTGAGGTTGCTGTGAGCTAGACGGATGCCACAGCACTCACTCTAGCCTGGGCAACAGAGTGAGACTCTGTCTCGAAAAAAAAAAACAAAAACAAACTACAACCTTTCTCTGTAGATGGGCCAGGTCTGGCCTCTGGGAATGGAAGGAATATTGATTGTCTTAAGCAAATAAGGACAAGAAGGGGCAAGAAGCCATGTCCAGGCAGGAGAGGGTGAGGAACTAGTGTTGCAAGTTCCCATTTTAAAGATGTGAAAGGTCCCTACAAGGTCCATGGGGCCCACGGAGCTCACAGGGGACAGATTTCAGCTTCTCCCAAGGGACAGCTTCTCCACAACTAGAGAGATAAGTGCCTTGGAAGGTGAGCACTCCTTGTTATTGGATATATGCAGAGAGAGGCCAGAAACCCCCGACTCAGGGCCGCTATAGAAGCAGGTCCCAAATGCTGTCATCACAAGTTCGTGCTGGGAATCCCCAGGAAAATCACCTACCTCCCTGGGCTTCAGCATCTTCAGCTACAATATAAGTAGGGTAATAATGCCATCCCTGTAGGGTTGTCATGAGGATTAAACTAGAAAATATGCCAAATAAACAAACAGCGTGCTGGCACCCAAGGGCTTAGGCAGCAGTGACTGCCATTACCAGGTTCAAATCCTGACTCAGAGCACTGACTTCGCTTGGGACTGGTGAGGTGAGCACATCATTGACACAGCATCCAGGTCCAGAGAGGGGCTGTGACTTCCCTAAGTCACAGCCAGGAGACAGAGGGTCTGGGAATCAAATTATATTGGGTCTGACACCACTCAACTCCTGCTTTTTCACCATTCCCTATCTTCTCAATGTGTTTTGTAAGTTCTAGAGCATTCTGCAAATAGGAGGAAGTTAGTATCATCATTACCATTATTGAAACATCTGCCTTCCTAATGGTGTTTCCAGACAGTCTGGAAGAAGCATATATTTATTTCCTATATACATATCTCCAAGCAACTTGTCAATTTTTGAAGACAGAGAGTGGGACTTTTGAAATGTTGTTTGGCATTTGGGCCTAGGGGTCAGATGGACGCAGCTTTAATCTGTGTTTCATCATTTACTAGCACTATAGGGTTTCGGAGTAATTTCCAAAAAACAATTTCTCAAAGAACTGGAAGTCTCACTCCTGCAGCAGTTTTAGGTTGGAGCTCAGTGAGAACAAGTGACCCCTTTTGGCAGGTGAAAGTACTCTAAGAGCACACTGTAACTTCTGAACTCAGCAGGGAATAAAGTTTTTGGAAACTCTATTTTTTTCTAAAAGGATGTAGTAAGTTCCAGAGCATTCTACTAGATTCCCAACCCCATGATAATTACTGTCTTATTATTAAGCTTCCATTTCTGAATCTTACTATTTTCCAGACACTGTGTTAAGCACTTAGTATACATAATTTCATTTAATTCTCCCAACAACCCCATGAGGTATGTGTGTTTATTCCCACCTTACAGAGGAGAAAACAGGTTCTTGGAAATTATTCTGGTAATGTAATGGTAATGATGATATTAACTACCTCTATTTGTAGAATGCTCTAGAACTTACAAAACACATTCAGAAGATAGGGAATAGTGGGCCGGGTGTAGTGGCTCACGCCTATAATCCTAGCACATTTGATTTCAGGAGTTTGAGACCAGCCTGAGCAAGAGCGAGACCCCGTCTCTACTATAAATAGAAAGAAATTAATTGGCCAGCTAAAAATATATAGAAAAAATTAGTCAGGCATGGTGGCGCATGCCTGTAGTCCCAGCTACTTGGGAGGCTGAGGCAGGAGGATCGCTTGAGCTAAGGAGTTTGAGGTTGCTGTGAGCTAGGCAGACCCCATGGCACTCTAGCCCAGGCAACAGAGTGAGACTCTGTCTAAAAAAAAAAAAAAAGATAGGGAATAGTAGAAAAGCAGGAGCTGAGTGGTATCAAACCGAGTATGATTTGATTCCCATTTGAGAGAAATGGCTGTATTTTCCCAGCACCTTGTCCCTGTCTCCCTGTGATATCTCACCAAAGTGCTAACATTTGCTCTGAGGTGTTACCAGGTGATAATCACAGCCAGGAGCTTCCTTGTCTCAGTCTTAATGTGTGTGTCTGCAGGATTTGACCAGGGTCTGATTCTAGGAATAAGCTGGGCCCAAAAAGAAGGGAAGGGGCACAGTTCACACCATGACCCCTATGCTCACCACCCTCCCCACCAGGAAGCTGGACGTGAGCAAGCACCACTTGCTCCTCCTGGGCCTCTCTTCTCCCCACCCTCCCACACACTCCCCTGGGTGCATTTCCCTGTAGCCCCAACAGTTCAGTTGAAAGCTATCATGTTAGTTTTACTTAAAGCAAAGGCCACTCAACCCAAACAAGGGTTCAAGAGATGCAGTCAGAAGGCCACGTGGCAAAGGGGACCCCTGCTCTGTGCAGGGATTCAAGCAGGCAATTGTTTTTAAAATTCCATGCGTCAAACACCCAAAGCTTTTAAGATTCTACCAAAGTGAAAAAAGCAGATTTCTATGATTCTAGATTCTAGGATTCTTTTGTCATTCTACAAATGTTTATTAAGGCTGGGTCTGTGCCAAGCTCTGTGCTGGGTACTATGCACCAGAGGGGGGTCAAGTGCTGGTTTCTACCCTCAAACAGCTCTTGGTCTGATGAGAAAAGCCAAATAACTGGACACTTTATATGACAACCGCTAAGGTAGAGGCATCATAGGGACATTCTGGGCACATGATCAAGGATTAATTCGTTTTGCCCAGAAAGGAGAGGAAAGACAACAGAGAAGAGTACACAGGACTGGCTCAGAAGCTAGACAGACAAGTGGTATGACCCTCAGTGATGTGACCTTAGGCAAGTCCTTCCCCTTTCTGAGCCTGTCTTCTCACTTGTAAAATGAGACTACTGTTCCCTATCTCAGAGATTGTTCTAAGACTTAGAAATAATGCATGTTGCTGGGCATGGTGGCTCACACCTGTAATCCTAGCACTCTGGGAGGCAGAGGCAGGAGAATTGCTTGAGGGCAGGAGTTAGAGACCAGCCTGAGCAAGACCAAGAGAAACCCTTCTCTACAAAAAGTAGAAAAATTAGCTGGGTGTTGTGGCCCTTGCCTGTAGTCCCACCTACTTGGGAGGCTGAGGCAAGAGGATCATTTGAGTCCAGGAGTTTAAGGTTGCAGTGAACTACGATGACACCACTGAACTCTACCCAGGATGACAGAGTGAGACTCTGTCTCAAAAAAAAAAAAAAAAGAAAAAAAAGAAAAAAAGAAAGAATGCATGTGAAAGATCACAGCTTAAAGAAACACTCAAATTATTTCTATTATTTCTGAGAAAAGGTGACTCCTGCTGAGTGTCAGAGCACAGGCAAAAACTCACCCAGTAGACCAAGAGGGAAAAGAGCCAAACAGAGGCCAAGCAGAGAGCAGGTGCTGCACATGCGGAGGTTCAGAGGCCAGCAAGGTGGAAGGCACAGGGGAAGAGATTGACAAGGACCAAGAAGTCCAAGCCAATGAGGTTGGATTTGAGTCTGAGGGCACTGGGGAGTCATAGGAGGTGTCTCCTCAAGGAACAGGCAGGATCACATATGTGTGGGTCAGGAAGATGCATCCTTCTGGCCACAGTGCACAAAATGAATTGGAGATTCTAGAAGAACAAAGACCATTGAGAAGGTATGATAATAAACTTCCACGAGCCAAGGAACACTGGCTGTTGCACCTTAAGTGCTGGCCATGGTGAGGATGCTGCCCAGCCTGGGTGGGCAATGTGCTACGAGGATAGGGAGCAGTGCCCACTAGCTAGAAGGCAACATGCTGCAGGCATCACAGCCTCATTCTTTCACTAGGCAAATCTTTACTGAGCACCTATTATGTGCCAGGTACTTTCTTGATGCTTATTCAACAATGAATAAGACAGACAGACAAAGGTCCCTGACCCTCATGGAGCTCTCATTCTAGTTGGGGGATGAATGCCCAATAAATAAACAAATGTATGTCAAGGTCATATCACTAGAAGGAATACTGAATGTCATAACCCAGATGAGAAGAAAAACTGAAGGATTCCCAATACCCACATAGGAAATAAAACCAGGATTCAAACTAGGAACTGTAAGGCTTCAAGTCCATAGTCTTTTATCTTCTGGAAGCTGCCTGTCTTTCAAGAGCTTGTATATAAGGCACACCTTCCAGTTACTAGTATCCTCCCTTGAGCCGCAAGGCCCATTCATTCAGTAGTCATTCCAGAAATATTTATTGGGCACCATTCTGGATGCTAAGGACATAACAATGATCTGGACAGACATGATTTACAGACTGGCAGGGAAGAGTGGTGCTAAACAAGCACACAGGGGTAGTTACAATTGCCATGAGAGCTACAGATAAGTAGCAGGTGTTATGAACTAGCCTGGGAAGAACTCTAAGCCTGGTCTCCCAGAGGAAGTGACATTTAACTTGAGACCTAAAGTCTCAAGCATTTGCCAGGCAAAGAAGGAAGAGATTTCAAGGTGGAGGGAACAGTATGCACAAAGGTTTGCACTTGATCTTAGCCAAAAGGCCAAGAAGCGACTATGCACGTGCAAAGTTTTGGAGAGCAAAGGAGCCTGGCACATTTGAGGAACTGGGAGGCCATAGTGGCTGGAGCTTGTAGATGGAGAGAAAGCAGGGTGTGGTGCAAGACAAGGGTAGGGAGGCCCCAGGAGCCAGACCAGCTGACCTTCCCAGCCATGTTAAGAGCAAATTAAAGATTATGGGTACAGTACAGGCTCCAATGCCAGCCCCACACCATCTTTCACCTGCTCTTCTGGGTTAAGCCCCCTGGGCCCAGAATAGCAGTCTCTCCACCCATAACTTTCCCTCCAGTTGAGAATGTCCTCAACCAGTGGCTCTTATCACCACTTCACATGAAATTCAGCTCCTGGGATCAAATTCCAACTCCCCAGAAAGCATCTGGCAAGGTTTCAGGAGCCATCGGACTGCCTATGTTATATTGGAATATTATTAAGTGGCTGAATATTAACATCCCCATTTTACAGATAGTGAAACTGAGGCTCAGAGAAATAAAGCACACAGTTACCCTCCACCCATTTTTAAACCTAATTTCTCCCGAGTCTGTGGATTTGGGGAAGCTTCATGATTCTAGCTGTTATGATTCTAAGATTCTGTGACATGAACGGGAGAATCCTAAGGTTCAGGGAAATGTGGAGATTTCAGGGCTCTAGAACTCTAAAATTCTAGCCTTGGTGCTCCAATAAATCCAGTGAGAGCAAGCCCAGGTTCCTGGTCTGTGCTAGCTGGTGCAAGCCCAGAGATGCAGGTGGCACTCATGAGCCCCTCTCTTCCCCCTCCAGTCCCCACTTCGCAGACCAGCTGGAGGACGCAATCCTGCCATCCCCTGACCGCCCAAGTCCGCAGGCCTCGGTGGACGGGAACTAAGGGGTTAAGTCGGGAGCGACTGTTGCTGGAGGGCAACGGGCTGAGGCCCAGAGCCAGGAGGTGGGAGTTGGGGGGAGGCGGGGAGTCCCAGGACCCGCCCCGTAGCAGACTTCCTGGTCCGCAGCAGGCAGACAGGGTAGGAGGCGGCAGCGGCGGCGGGGGACCCCAGAGCCATGGGGTGCGCGCGCGACGCCATCCTGGAGGCGCTGGAGAACCTGACCGCCGAAGAGCTCAAGAAGTTCAAGCTGAAGCTGCGGTCAGTACCGCTGCGCGAGGGCTACGGGCGCATCCCGCGGGGGCCGCTGGATTCCATGGACGCCGTGGACCTCACCGACAAGCTCGTCAGCTACTATCTGGAGGGGTATGGAGCTGAGCTCACGGCGGCCGTGCTTCGCGACATGGGCATGCTGGAGATGGCAGAGCGGCTGCAGGAGGTGATGCTCAAGGGTGAGCTCGCCCATGTCCCCTCATCTACCCCTATTTTTTTCCCTCCCCCAGAAAGTTTGCCCCTTAGGTTCTTCCGCTTTCTGTTCCTCCTACCCTCTAAAACAAAGCTCCTCTGCTGACAAAGCTTTCTGCACTTGGCATCCCCACCAAGGGGACAGGCCACTTCAGAGAGACTGGAGGCAGGTAGGAAGGAAAGGGGACCACTTGACTCTTTTCTTACAGGCCGTGGAGCTGCGCCAGCTGGGATCATGGCCCCACAGATAGCAGGAAGGCCAGGTGAGTCCTGCACACCCAACCTTGACTGCCTGGGCCCTCTCCAGCCCCACCACACCCCTGCACAGCCTACCTGTTGTCCCACAGCCAGAGCAAGGCTGGGCTGACCCTGCCCACCCACCCACTCACACCCCTCCCTGGGCACAGAGCCTGGCCGGAGGGAAAAAGGGAGGCACAAAGTTAGACTCATCCCACTGCACCCTTTGAGCCCCACCGCTGAAGTTTGCAGAGGAATTTCTGAAGCAAGCTGTGTCCAGCAAGAACAGGCCCACTCAGGGCGCTGGTTCAGTTGTTTTCCTCCCTCCCACCCCCAGCACAGCACTTCGTGGAGCGCCACCGGACAGCACTCATCGCACGGGTTACAGACGTCGATGGGGTGCTGGATGCTCTGTATGGGAAGGTCCTGAGCGAAGAGCAGTACCAGGCAGTGCGGGCGGAGCCCACCAATCCAATGAAGATGAGGAAGCTCTTCAGCTTTGCTCCAGCCTGGGACCAGACCTGCAAGGACTGGTTCCTCCAGGCCTTAAGGGAGACCCAGCCCTACCTGGTGGCCGACCTGGAGTAGAGCTGAGGCCTCTCTCCAGCAATGGCCCCAAACTCAACCCCTGACAATTCCAGGCAGCTCATCGGGACTGTATTATTTTTAAAGAAGAATATATGAAAAACCTGCTTTTACTGTGGTTTTTTTCCTATTTCCAGACTGGAGCATGCAGAGCTAAGCTAGGCTTCCAAAGGCTGCACAGGCTCAGGTGATGCTCGCCCTAGTTTCAGCGTTTCTAAGAGCTCAGGCTTCCAAATGCTTCCTCTGCTCTTCCTGCCTCATAGTGCTACTTCCTGCCTCACAGTGCTACTCCAAAAAGCTCTATCCTTGAGGAAATTATAAATTACAGTCCTGTGGCCAAGGTCTAAAGGTTAAAAGAGGCAAGTACAAAGGGGCCTGAAACTGTGGGGAGATTTGTCAGAGGCATTAGAAACAGACTAAAGTTTCTTACCTTTCACGTTTTTACAGGGGGGAAAATGGGAAATTAAAGCAATTTTCAGAGGGGGACATTAGAACAGTAAGCACAGAAGAGTACAAGCCACCAAATATAATTCTAGGGTTCCTCCTGGCACTGGCACTAGCAGGCTTAAATGCTCCCTCTGTTCCACCCCACCCCCTGGAGGAAGGGTTATAGCTCACACTTTGCCCAGAAAACATGCCAACCACAAAAGCAAATTTTCAGGAAATGAATTCTGGTAGGTGTTTTGATTCCTGATGCACTTTTTTCTTACAAAGAAAAATATGAGTATCTCTCTCTAGGAAATACTTAAGGGGCACTTAAGGGGTCTTTCCAAAAGCTATTTAGGATCCTAGGACTACATCTTGAGAATACACTGTACCCAACCCCTTCTGGCCTTGAACGCTGTGCAAAGAAACAGGCAGAACACCCAGAAGGCCGAGTATCCCATCCTTAGAAACCATCTGACAACCACTTTCCAAACTCACTGCCCCCAACTGGGTTTACAACTAATAATGTCTTATCTGGAAACGGCCTCCTACTGGTCCACCCTGCCCCTCGTCTACCTCTAAGCACCAGAGTAATCAAAACTCATCATGGCAATAGACTTACTTTCCACAGAAAACCTAAACTCTTCTCGCCTGGCCCTTAACCCCATCCAACCTCTCCTGTCCTCTCTTCACAATATCCCACAATCCCTGCAGCACTATTTGCCCAGAGCCCTAGCACATGCTGATCCCTCAGCTCTGGACACTTTGAAATCTTCTACCTGCCCCCAAATGCCCACAGGCGTCCCTTCCTCCAAACTCTGACACACTTCCCACATAGTATCCCTATGGCAAAGCAAACCACTATCATGGAATTTCACAAAAGATTCCATTAGATTGAACCCCGTTAAAAAGAAATACCAGCCGGGCCTGGTGGCTCATGCCTGTAATCCTAGCACTCTGGGAGGCCAAAGGCAGGCGGATTGCTCAAGCTCAGGAGTTCGAAACCAGCCTGAGCAAGAGCAAGACCCCGTCTCTACTATAAATAGAAAGAAATTAATTGGCCAACTTATAATAAGAAATAAACCCAAGCAATAGAGTAGCTAAATGCCTTGTCGCAGTACTTCGAGGCTGGGCGCAAATTGCTTGAGTCCCAATGTTAGAAGGTTGACTGGTAGAGCATAGCTGAACTCCAAGGCAACTCATCCGTGGTGACAAATGCAAGACTCGTCTAAAAAAAAAACAAAAAAAGCCTCGCCAAGAGCCAGTGGTCCAATGCCTGTAAGTCCTAGCACTCGGGAGGCAAGGCAGCGAGGGACTCGCTGAGCTCAGGGAGTTCAAGACACCAGCTGACACACGAGCAAGGCCCTGTCCCACCAAACACGAAACAAATTAGCCAGGTCCAATGATGACACCATGCTGTAGCTCCCCAGCTACTCCAGAGGCAGGCAGAAGGCCACTGACCAGGAGTTGACTCGTGCTGATGCCACTGGCATTAGCCAGGGCACAGACTTGTTTTATATATATTGTTGGTGTGTGTGGGTGGTGTGTATGAGACATCTGGCCAGATCAGTGCTCCGTGACCTGTAATCCCGCACGTTATAGAAGGCTTAGAAGGAGTATCCCTCTTGAGCTAAGAAGTTCAAGACTAGAGGACACAATACGTGAACTCACTTCTCTACACAAAATAACATACTTACTGTGTATTGGGTGGCACATAGACCCACCTACTCAAGAGGCTGAGGTGGAGATTACTAGAGCCCAGAAATTCAAGGTTACAGTGAGCTATGACTAGGCCACTATACTCCAGCCTGGGCAACAGAGACCTTGTATCCAAAAAAAAAAAACAGGTGTATTTTCAACACCTGTACATATTTTTTTTTTTGAGACAGAGTCTCACTTTGTTGCCCAGGCTAGAGGCAGTGCCGTGGTGTCAGCCTAGCTACAGCAACCTCAAACATCTGGGCTCAAGCAATCTGCTGCTCAGCTCCGAAGTAGCTGCGCTACAGGCATGCACCACCATGCTGGGCTAATTTTTCTATATAGTTGGCCAATTATTTCTTTCTATGTATGTAAACAGACGGGGTCTTGCTCTTGTCAGGCTGGTTTCGAACTCCTGACCTTGAGCAATCCGCCCGCCTCGGCCTCCCAAAGTGCTAGGATTACAGACGTGAGCCACCACGCCCGGCCCTGTACATATTTTTTAAAAACTTCACAGAAACGTAATGGTTCTCAGATGGGGGTCACAGGTAACCCTTCCTTGCACAACAGATACCCTTAAAGAGTAGCTACAAAAACCAGTGCAGGCCTCAGGCAAGGTGATAAAAAATTTCTGGGCGAGGGGGTCCCTTTTCTCTTTGGCAGTGGGGAGGGAAGAACTCAAAGACTTCTACCAGAAGTCTGCTCAGACTTTAGGCATAACACGGTGGTTAAGGGCAAAAGTTCTAAAGTCAGAAGAGTGTTCAAATCCCAGCTCTACCTCTCATTAGCTAATGTGCTTCAGCAACCCCTCCGTAAAGTGAGGATAACAGGACTTCACTCATCACCTAACAGCAACTGGCCCATAGCAAGTACACCTAAGTGTTAATGACTATCTCTACTAGAATGTTTTTTTCCTGGCTCCCCAATGATTTAGAATAGCATCTGAGCACCCATGTGTCCCAAGACCAATGCAGAGTGCCCCTCTGGCATCACCGTCAGGTTTGTTCTGTCACTTCCCATACTGGTGGTGGTTCTCTCAATGGTTTTGGAAGGCCCAGCCCCAGTCGAGATGGCCCCGACATTTCCAGCACCATGCAGTGCATCCCAGATAGGCTGAAGGAGGCTGGGAACACTGCTGGAGGACAACACTCAGGAGGCCACTAACCACATCAAACAGCGACATTCCTGCCAATACCCAGAATTGGTTTTCAGAGACATTCAACAAAGTGAATGAGCAACTCAAAATTACCTTCTCCTGAACACGTGGAGAAGTCATTTACTTTTCTTTGTGGCCACAAGAAATTTCCCACCCCAGCCACTGTGCTGAGGACTCCCTCCATGATGCCCCAGATTTCCCTGCACTAATAAAAACCCCAGAGGGGGAAGAAAAAAATAGCATCTGACATAATAAACATTTTTTTCGCTCAAATTTCCCATTCAAGCTTCACAAGACTTTAAAAAAGAACAAGCAGAACAGAAGCCAGTGTTGGGTGGGCCTGTGCTAATTAGAAGAACCCACATGTGGGGGGTACCCTTCCTTTTTCTTGGCTCCTAGCTAGCACTGTTTATATAGAAAGTTTTGTACAAAGTCAAGTTCCCCTTCATGGGAAAGGTGGAGAGGAGAATAAGATGCATCTTTGAAAAAACTCTAGAAATGTTACTCTAAATTAAAATATCAAACCAGCAGCATCAATACCACCAGAGAGCCTGTTAGAAATGTACATCTTGGGCCCCACCTGAACCTACTGAATTAGCTGACATTTCAACACAATTGCCAAGAGAGTCGTATCCGTCCAAGTTAGACATACATACAGTACTCCTCCTAATACTCAGGGGATAAGTTCCAAGACCCCAAGTGAATATCTGAAACCCCTAATAGTACTGAACCCCATATACATTGTTTTTCTCTTAAATATATATACCTATGATAAAATTTAGCTTACAAATTAGAGATAAACAATAATAAAAGAATTATAATATACCATACATGGGTTGGGTGCAACAACTCATGCCTGTAATCCCAGCATTTGGGGAAGCGGAAACAGGAGGATTACGCGATGCCAGGAATTTGAGACCAGCCTGGGTAACATAGCAAGACCCCATCTCCACAAAATAGTTTAAAATTAGCCAAGCATGGTGGCACATGCCTGTAGTCCCAACTACTTGGGAGGCTGAGGCAGGCGGATGGCTTGGGCCCAGGAGTTCAAGATTGCAGCAAGCTATGATCACGCCACTGCACTTCAGCCTGGGCAACAGATCAAGAAAAATGACTGTGTTCTCTCTCAAAATATAGAAAAATCTCTCTCAAATGAAAACTTGGTTCCAGCCATCTCAAACCAACAAAGGTTTGCAGAGGCCTTCCCACACTGAATGGGGATTTGCCTTTTTATTCAGGGACACTGTAAACAGGGTAGGTTAGCTTTCCCTGAAACTCTGGAAAATCAAAACAAACAAGAAAAAGCCCTGTAAAGCCAAAGATCTAATAGCCATGTCCCTACTCTGAAGGGGCTGCAGTGAAGCTCTAAGGACACTGCTGAACAGCTACAAGGAATCCTTCTAATCATGCAACACTGCCACCCCTTGGTGAGGTCTGCAAGGGCAGGAGGCCACCTAAAAAACAGCCCCTGCTCCATTCAAAGGCTATCCTCACATTGAGGATAACCCTTCCCAAAGCAGCCAAGCTTGGCTCCCTGCCACAGCACTAGCACTCTTGAAGTAGGCACAGCATACCCTTAATCTTCAACCCAATAGCTCAAGCTCCTTTCTCCTTTCCTCTGCCTCTAGCCCCTATACTGGTGGCCCACAATTGTTTTTAGTTAAAGGACCCCTCCTCTCTAGAACTGTAGCCCCAAGACTTAGGAATAAAGCCACAATTTAAGGAGCCTGGAGAACACTAACCATCAGCAGAAAGCACACTTCTCTCAGCTCCAAACTCCTGCTCATAAACTACATCCTTTCTGCAAGTCTGTTCCTGCCTCA